GGAGGCGGAGGTTGCGGTGAGCCGAGATCGCGCCATTGCACTCCAGCCTGGGTAACAAGAGCGAAATTCCATCCCAAAAAAAAAAAAAAAAAAAAAGTTCTTGCAGGGCACAGTGGCTCACACCTATGATCCCAGCACTTTGGGAGGCCAAGGTAGGCGACGACGTCCAGAGATCGAGACCATCCTGGCCAACATGCTGAAACCCTGTCTCAACTAAAAAAAATACAAAAATTAGCTGGGCATGGTAGTATGTGCCTGTAGTCCCAGCTGTTTGGGAGGCTGAGGCAGGAGAATCACTTGAACCTGGGAGGCGGAGGTTGCAGTGAGCCAAGATTGCGCCACTGCACTTCAGCCTGGTGACAGAGTGGGACTCTGCCTCAAAGAAGAAAACAGTGTTCCTTTTATGTTAACTCAAAATGTTATTTTTGAGATAGGGTCTCACTCCTGCACAAGCTGGAGTACAATGGCACAAACAGCTCACTGCTGTCTTGACCTCCTCGGCTCAAGGTATCCTCCTGCCACAGCCTCCTGAGTAGCTGAGATTACAGGTGTGCATCACTACACTTGGCTAATTTTTAAAATTTTTTGTAGAGGCAAAGTTCTCACCATATTACCTAGGCTGGTCACAAATTCCTGGACTCAAGTGATCCTCCTGCTTCAGCCTCCCAAAGTGTTGGGATCATAAGCATAAGCCACTGTGCCAGGCCTCAAAATATTAAAATAAATGACAAAAAAAAAAAAAAAATCAGCCGCCAGGTGTAGTGGCTCACATCTGTAATCCCATCACTTCGGGAGGCCGAGACAGATGGATCACAAGGTCAGGAGATCGAGACCATCCTGGCCAACATGGTGAAACCCCGTCTCCACTAAAATACAAAAAATTAGCTGGCCATGGTGGCACATACCTGTAGTCCCAGCTACTCAGGAGGCTGACACGGGGGAATTGCTTAAACCCAGGAGGCGGAGGTTGTGAGCTGAGATTGTGCCACTGCACTCCAGCCTGGCAACAGAGCAAGACTGCATCTCAAAAAAAAAAAAAAAAAAAAAATCAGCTGGGTGCAGTGGCTCGCACCTGTAATCCCAGCACCTTAGGAGGTAGAGGTGAGAGGATCACTTGAGCCCAGGAGTTAAGAGACCAGCCTGAGCAACATAGTGAGACCCATCTTTGCAATAAATACAAAAATTAGTGGGCCAGGTGTGGTGGTACACGCCTTTGGGAGGTCAAGGTGGGCGCATCACGGGATCAGGAGTTCAAAACCAGCCTGGCCAGCATGGTGAATCCCCCTCTCTATTAAAAATACAAAAAAAAAATTGGCAGGGCATGATGACGCATGCCTGTATTCCCAGCTACTCAGGAGGTTGAGGTAGGAGAATAGCTTGAACCTGAGAGGCGGAGGTTGCAGTGAGCTGCAATCGCACCACTGCACTCCAGCCTGGGTGACACAGCGAGACTCTGTCTCAAAATAAAAGAAGGAAAATCAGCCAGGCATGGTGGTGTGTGCCTGTAGTCCTAGCTACTTGGGAAGCTGATGCAGGAGGATCACTTGAGCCAGAGAGGCAGAGGTTGCAGTGAGCCAAGATCATTGCCACTGTGCTGCAGCCTGGATGACAGAGTGAAACCCTGTCTCAAAAAAACAAAAACAAAAACAATTCAGTTAGTTTCGAATATGCTTCTTCCAGTTACACATGGCCCACTGGAAAAGAGCTAACATTATCTGTAAGAAGAGGGAGACAAGATGCTGACACTGGGGCAGAGTGAGGCATATAAGCAGTCTTTTGCATGATGAGAGACTGGATGAAGATACAGAGGATGGCAGTGCCTTTTTTTTTTTTTTTTTTGAGACGGAGTTTCGCTCTTGTTGCCCAGGCCGGAGTGCAATGGCGCGATCTCGGCTCACCGCAACCTCCGCCTCCTGGGTTCAGGCAATTCTCCTGCCTCAGCCTCCTGAGTAGCTGGGATTACAGGCATGCGCCACCATGCCCAGCTGATTTTTTGTATTTTTAGTAGAGACGGGGTTTCACCATGTTGACCAGGATGGTCTCGATCTCTTGACTTCGTGATCCACCCGCCTCGGCCTCCCAAAGTGCTGGGATTACAGGCGTGAGCCACTGCGCCCGGCCGGCAGTGCCTTTAGAGACGAATTTAGGCTGCTGCCTGGGGAAGAAAATCAGTGGTTATCACTGCCTTTGTGTCCACACTGTATAACTAAGCAAAGCCTGTGAGAACAAACCGCTGGGATAGTCACGACCCTCTCTTGGAGTGGATGAGTTCTAGAGACAGGTGCCATAAGGAAAGGCTGCAACCCCCACAACAGAAAATATGTATTTATTATAAAATAAAGTTTGTATCATGATGAGAGTAGAAAAATAACACTATGAGCTACTAAAAAAGTTCTGGAGCTCAGTCTCTGAGGATTGGGGTAAGAGGCTTTTGCATGGCTCTGGAAGCCTACCAATATGAGGCTCTCTATGCTCGTGTGGGAGGGAGCATGTGGCTCAGGTCCTGCTTGAAGCCCAAGGAGCCTAGATGGTCCACACGAGATGCTCTGGCCACGGTGATCAAAGAGGAGAACTTGAGGTCAGCAGGGAGCTGGTTCTGAGAAGGGCCAGGATGGGAATAACCTTGCCCCTCCCTATACTGGAGTGTAGAAGAGCCTCTGGGGCTGATGATCCTGCTTTAGAAGATGGTACCCACTGGCCTTATTCTGAGTTGCTTGCACAAATGTCTGTGCCGAAGAAAAGCCACACAGCCTTTCTCAGACAACTTGCCCCTCCAATTCTCACCGCTGTGGCCAAAGTGCCAGATGCAGTATATGTGGTATCAGCCTGATGGGCTGCTGGCTGAAATTTTGTACTTCAAATCCTGTCCATACTGATGGCAGAAAGAAAGAAAGAAAATGTTAAAAGACCAGTGAACGAGAGCAGCTAGACTCAACTGTTCTATATTCCAAGCCTCCTGGCCCCCTAAAATAGGGAGAGTATCTTCCCCGAGTGGGAAACGTTCTGCCTACCCTAAACAGGAAAGGCAATCCCATAGACACCCCTTTCCACCTCTAGAAAAAATGTCTTCTAGATCCCGTAGGCTTCAGAAGAATACTGAATCCCTCCCTGCGATGGGAACCCAACCCTTTAGTGAATGGTCCCTCAGCAGCAGTACCTGGAGAAAGCAGCCAAGGTGAGCACCTCAAGCAACAGCTCTGAGCCACAGAAGAAGAGCAAGATACCGTTCATGATGGCTTCCAGGCGGAGTACATAGGTCTGCAGCAGCAGGTAATAGGAGGCCATCACGGCAGATGGGAAGGTCAAGGCTATGCTAATACTGAGTGGCATCTTTCGCTGGCAGAGGTTTCCCTTTGTACCTGTCAGACACAGCCCATGGAGTCATCTCCAAATGATCTGCTTTTCCTGGCCCAGGGGAAAGGTGGAGGAGATGTAACGGAATGGCAAGGCAAAGAAAATGATCCTGAGTGGGAGCAGGCAGATTTATAAATGGGGTCCCACTATACTAAAAGTTTGAGGCTTCAGGAGAGTTACATGATTAAAGTCACTTAATCCAGAGGTCCTGCTTCCAGTCTGTTTCCCACTCAAGGGACAATGGGATCTTTATTTGGGGAAAAGAAATTTTTTTTTAATTATAAAAATAATATATAATCATTTAAAATTTTTCAACACAGAAAATTTTTGAGAATATAGAAAGTGAAAGGCCTCAGCCAGGTGCGGTGGCTCACACCTGTAATCCCAGCACTTTGGGAGGCTGAGGCAGGCGGATCACAAGGTCAGGAGTTCGAGACCACGGTG